TTGAAATCACAAGTTATTTTAAAAATCATGATTAACACAGGCAACTTGTACCTTGAGAACAAAATGGTAACACATAAGGAATGAATCTTAGCTCAGCTGTAATTTGCAAGAGATAACTAACCCTGCATCTCTGTTTTTCTTGTTTCTTTCTTTTTCTTTTCATGCCTCCCAAGCAGACATCTGCCACTTCTCAATGCAGAGGTCAGTCACTTCTTTATGCAGCCTAGAAACGATCACAGAAGAGCCTGTGGCCAGTGAGAGCCATCACTGCAGCCTTCTCTTCCCCCTGCCCGTTACCCCTTACAGTGACTCTGAGGAAGGATCTGGCTCTGACCATTCCACGGAAGCTCCATCAGAGGGAAGCAGAACACCCAACCAGCCTCGAGAGCCCCGACCCTCCAGAGAGCAAGGAACCAACCTGGCTGCAGAAGACCAAGGGCAGGATGTCCCAGCTGACACAAGTTTAACAGCCCCAGAGGATGAGAGGACAAGCGTGGCAGGATGTCCCACAGAAGGAAATGGCTGGACACAGTGCAGTGAGGCTGAAGATCAGGGTGGATCAGCAGCACACCCCCAAAAAGCCAGGCTGGGAGAGGCAGCAGATCACAGTGCTGGCCAACCTGTAGGAAACTGCCAGAAGCAAAACCAACCAGGTCAGGTATCAGCAGACACGAAAAGCACCTCTGAATCCAAAGGGCAAAACCCAGGTGCTGCAGCTGTTCCACCCCAGCAAAGCCGTGTCAGTAACAGCCCACAGGCACATTCTCCCCAGAAAGCCTGGGCTGCTCAGGCTCTCCCTGTCCCTGTTTCCCAGACGAGCTCTTACACATTGGCTAGAAGGGCAAAGAGTGAAGGACTGAAGACGTCAGACTCCTCAGCCTCAATAAAAATTCCGAGCAGCCAGTCTCCAGCAGCTGAAGTGTACTTTGATGCCACTGTCAACGACCGGATCTGGAGCAAGCTGGACTGCGGCAGCCACCGCGACAGCATGTCCTCCTCGTCCAGCATGTCCTCCAACGACACCGTCATCGACCTGTCCCTGCCCAGCCTGGCTCGCAAAAGCCTCCCGGACCTGGGCATGGAGCCTCTGGCCATCAGGAAGGGCATGCGCCCGCGCTCCGCCACCGCCTGCAGCAACGAGATGCCAATGGTCAGCAAGAGCAAGTCCAACCCCAACCTGAGGTCTGGCCAGCTGCCGGCCGACGAGCTGTGCCCCCGGCCCCTGGCCAGGAGCCCTCAGGACACCTTCTCGTCCATTCCTAGAAGGCACACCTGGAGCAGGCTCTACATGGAGAGTCTCAGGCAGTCCTCCAACAAATCCAAAGCGCATGACACGGTTGGGAATAACCAGGCAAAGTCCAAAAGCCTCGGGGACCTTACCTCTGACGACATCGTGTGCACTTTTGAAAGCAAATACCGCAGCATCAGCCGGAGCTTCGTCACCCGCTCCATGCGGGAGCAGCGCCGCTCCTCCGGCCTGCGGCCCTCGGCCAAATCCCGGGACGAACTGACCGAGCAGCTGAAGAAGCTGACAGCCTTCCAGCAGGAAAACGACATCACCTCCCCCATCAGCCTTGAGCCCAGCGAGTCGGAGGAGGAGGGCGAGAGCGTGGGGCTGCTGCGGCGCTCGTCCTCGCGCAGCCAGAGCCGCGTGCGCTACATCGCCAACAGAGCGCGGCAGGCCCAGGAGAGGCAGCGCCTGCAGGGCCGGGCACAGCTCGGGGGCAGCCCCATCGAGGAGAGGGGCAACCCCGAGGGCGCCTGCAGCGTGGGCAGGGCCGGCTGCAGCGACCCCGCTGCCCACGCGGCCCTGGCGGCCTCGCCCAAAGCCCAGCCCGAGTGCGCGGCGGACACCGAGGTGTTCTTCATGCTCAAACTGTGACCCGCGCTCCTGTCACAGCAAAACACCCGAGAGGCCCAAAACGTCCTGTGCTTCCCTTCAGCCAAGGGTGCTTGAAACCACGACTCCAAAGGAATGATGAGGATTCATTTTTAATTGCGCTTTGCCCAGCCTCCGATTTGGCCTCCTTTGTGTTTCTTGCGTTTGCAGTTTGCTCTTGGTCTTTACTAATTTCAATAATTCTTCTGACAATAGTAACCTTGGTGTGTAACAGCTAAATGTGATGCTAAGGACAGCTAAGGTGAATTTTGCTCTAAAAAATCATGGATCCGTGTAAGGAGGCTGGACTTAAAATCACATTTTATTTTCTAGAAGAGTTTGAGGCCTCTGAGGGTGTGAATTAATAATGTAGTAGATACAGTCCATCATCCATTGTGGACCTGCTTATTTCAGTGAAAATCCGTATTTTCTCTTTGAAGAAAAGCTCTCTTGTTCCAAAGCAATGCTTTTATAAACCCAGCCTGTTTATATATCTATATATATATAAAAATATCTATATATATACACCTGTGTGTATGCAAAAATATGTCTGCACATGTATGTACACATGCACACCCTGAACCTGAACTGTGACTGCTCCTTGTCTCAAGGCATTGTCTGAGGGAATTGAGACAGGAGAGAGAAGGGAATGGCTAAAAATAGAAATATCTTCTGACTTTACTTCAGAAATGGCTACAAAGCATGTTAGTCTTTTCTTGAAACAGCACTGTCCCTTCTTATGGTATTTTAACAATGCTGCTGTACATAGCACTTTTTGGATGAATTTTACTATTTCTGTATTGCACTGCCATGCAAAATTTTCAATGATATGTTTAAAAAAAAAAAAAGAGATATTTAATTTTTTAGATGGACATATTTAGAATTAAATAACAACCTAAAGAGAGTAATAATTCTTCCTCCCCCCTTTTTTTTACTTTTTATTTTTAGGGATGTTGTCATGTGTCCCCCCCAATCCCCAGTTATGATGTCATTTATTATAGATGTACATTTTATCAGTGATGGAGAAGAATGTTTACTGAGATGCATTTTAAAGAGAAACAGAGGTTTAATTTTATTTCAGGCTGCATAGAGTCCCTATTATTGAGAAGATATTTTGCCTTTGTAATGATTATTTTGTGTATATTGCAAAATTTAAAAATTTGTTTGTAAAACCACCTTACACTACTAAAATAAACATATTTAACCTCCCAGCTGGTGGCTCTTTAGCTGTAACACAACACTGGGGTTTGTGATACACAAACATGGTTCATTCTATCTGCTTTGTTTTTCAGCTTCCATTGTGGATAACATTTAACTTCACTCTTTTTCAGAGAGGTAGCCAGTGCAAACCCACTCAGATTTTCTCAGGTCCTCCAGAACTTGTGCAAGGATTAGCAGAGACTGACATTGTGTGGTGTGACACAGCACAGGGGCTGGGGCAGGATGCAAATTCTGGGGCAACTGGTGGAATTGGTAGCCAGACAAACAGAAGGAGCTGATCCATCCTGGAGCAGCTGTACAAGTAACACAGATGGCCCTGTTTCATCACTGAGGGGGTTTAAAGCCTGGCTGAAAATGCTGCAGCACAATTTTGCTCTTCACCTGTCACTTGATTGAAAAATCACTTCTATTCCTGTCCCGGCAAAGTGCACAGTGAAAGTGGATTTTACTGCCTTCACACTCCTCCTGGAAGGGTTGTCACTTGTGGAGCTGGGAAGGGGCTCTTGGTTCTAATTTTAGTATCACTTAGCCACAAGAATTTAAGCTCTGAGATACCAAAACAGTAACGAAATTTAAACTCTGAGATATCAAAACGTAAGGCTGTGTTATCACCATGACACGGCAATGGGGCTGGAGGGGTTAAATTTCCTGATTAAATCTTTTCAAATGCTCTTCAGCGTGTTTTGTCTGAAAATATTCCCTCGGTTTTCCAGGCTGGCTCAGATCTGCACAGCTTGTCTGCAGGACTCGGATCCTGCAGATCCCAGGGCAGCTTTGAGCAGCAGAGCTTTGGGATGTGCACCGAGGTGACCCCACAGCATCACTGCAGGCTCTGGAGGGGAGGAGGTGAAGCTGCAGCAGAAACGTGTGATCTGCCAAGAGGAGCCTCCCATTGTGTCCCAGCACAAAGCAAATTTCATTAGCATTCTCTGGATGAAAAATCATTCGTGTAATACTTTAATTTCGGGCTGAAAAGCTGCAGGGAGTCGCTGCTTTTGTAACTTTAATGCTTTTGCAGCTTTAATGGCAAGTACATGCAACTTGACAGCTTTGGAAAGTTAATGTTTAAAAGGTCCATTTGTGTCTTCTCAAAGACTGAGTCTCACAATCAGATTATTTTCATCTTTAATTGATTAAGCAATACTTGTTAAATTAATGTACCTCACAGGAGGCAGTATTATGGAGCACTTTATAACATTTACCTTCATTCAGACTTTTAACCAGCAGTGTTTGGATTTAAATCATTAGGGTACATGTGAAATTTGCCCTCTTGCTTCCAGATTAGTAGCAACCACTTTTACAGCTTGTTTTGTGACACTACATAAGACTGACCATTCATCATGTATTTATTTATTCCCATAAGAGGAATTTATTCCAGCATTTAAGAATTATTTGGAATTTAAGTCAGCAGAAGGTCACAGTTTTGCTCTTCATTCTTCTGCACTTTCTGTGCATCCTGAGACTCCTGGATGTGGATTTCAGTTCGTTAAATGGTAAAATCTGAAATCCAGAGTCTCCAGATCACGAGCACTGTGCTGGACATGGCTGGGTGTGGGATTATGGGCTCTGCTCCTCCAGCCTGGCCTTCACAAGCACTGATAATGAACATTCAATTGTGTCCTTCAAAGCTGATTTTGTCTGTGCGATCAACAGGCAGGAAAAACGGGCACAGCTGCTGGGGACAGCTCCAAAGGGAGGAATTTTACAGCAACACCACAGGACAGAGAGAGAATTCCATGAGTCCTGATGCAGCATCCAGCTGCTGGAGCCAGCAGCTTCCAAAGGCTGTCCTTTGGTGTGGCCTCCTCCTTCCCCGAAGCCCCAGGTGTCCCCTGGTCCAGCTGGCACGCTCAGAGGCCACTCCTCCTCTTCAACCTCCTCCTCCTCCTCCTCCTCTCCCGGGTATTTAACCCAGCACGGGATGCCCAAGCCTGCAGGATCCTCACTGCTGTGCCGGGCATCCCCAGCAGCTCCCGGACGGACAGACAGACAGACCCACCCAAGGGAGTTACTGTAAGTGAGAAACTGCCTTCAATTCGTGCTCTGCTTCTGGCAAGGGGCAAAGCCTGCTGTCACCAGCTCCTTCTTGGCTTTTTAACCCACACTTGCACCCTGTCTGTGCTCTTAGGTCAGCAGTGTGTTTAACAACTTTCTGTTCAAGCTGATGCCAGCAGCACCAGCTCTGATCACTTTGGGGTTTTTTCAGAGGAGGCCACTTGAAATCATCACAAAGATGATTTTTGTTGCATGTACCTAATTGGAAGGGAAAAGGAACAGGAATTTAGAGGCTAAACCTACCAGGAAAAGCTCAGCTCCTCCCTGGCTCAGCCTGAAGGCTGCTGCTTCTTTTCCTTTTTTTCCCCCATGGTTGATGCAGCTCAGTTTTTGTGCTGCTCTGGCAACAGCCAAGAGCAGCAGCTACTTTGTCTAAAAAGCAGTTGTAGAATGAAGTCAGTGTTTGTTGGTTTTCTCAGCTTTTACAGAGATGGGGCAACTGAGAAGTGTTTTAAAAGTTTTTATTCCATTATCAGTCTCTTGTGAGGCACAAGAGATGTAAAACTCAATGCCATTCAATCAGAAGCCAACCTATTTCCTGGTTACACTACAGTGCATCTTTCACAGCTCTATTCTCTAAAATAGCTGGTCTTTTTGCAAGGCCATATGTCGAAACTTGTTGAAAATTGTTTCTAGTTCAACCTCTCTCTCAACGATGTCATCTCTATTCCACAGCCTTCCTAAATCAGCACACCTCATCTCAGTATTTGCATACAGTTGTGCAAGACTGTATAAGCTTTGTGTCAGGTTTTGAGAATTCTTTACAAATCCATTTCCCACAAGTGTTGGCGGATGTACAGCTCAGATCTCAGTCCTCTCCTCTGGGATCCTTTCACAAGGATCAACATTTTCCCATTTGGCAGGATTTTTTTAACAGCAGCAACAGCAAAATCAGCATTGAAATTTAACCTGGAAAGAACCTTCAGTGGAGGTTTTAGTTATTTCTCTCATTAGGGAAAATGAATGAGGGAAAGTGCTGAGCTATAATGCTGGGAGTTTTCATAGGATGCAGGATTGGGAAATTTCCTAAAAGCTGATAGGTAAGATCACTAAATCCAGTGTTTTCTGAGCATCAGTCAGCCACAAGCAATGCCACATGTAGTATGTTTTTGCCTACACATTCTCATAAATGGTAAGTTTTCCTGGGCATTTTAAATTTACTTTTTATCATTTCTGGTGTAATGTTGTTCTGTATCTTGTTGGACAACAAATACCATTAAAATATTGTTGCTGCTTCCTCTCCTGCCCTTTCCCTGGGGGGAAACCCACAGGGAACTCTCATAAATTATAAGTTTTCCTGGGCATTTTAAATTTATTTTTTATCATTTCTGGTGTAATGTTGTTCTGTATCTTGTTGGACAACAAATACCATTAAAATATTGTTGCTGCTTCCTCTCCTGCCCTTTCCCTGGGGGGAAACCCACAGGGAAAGAACCACCAGTGGGTAAATGCCCTTTTTTAGGTTTGTCACATCCTTTTTGCTGCAGTGGGGGCTTCACCAGAGCCTTTCTTTAGTGTTTGTTCTGGCTGAGCTCAGCAGTGACTGTTTTCAGCTGGAGGCTTGGTTTGGAATTGTGGCTCTACAGAAAAAAGGAGCAGAAAATCCAGGACAAAGTGATCTCACCCAGTGATGAGGAACTGCAGAACCAGCTTTAACTGCTTGCCTTTCACCTCCAGCAGGAAGGTTCCTGCAGAGCAGCAGGAGTTTCTGCTCCAATGGATAAATCACTTCACTTCACAATCTGTGTGCTTACAGCCCTGCTGCTCCTGAGGGAATCCAGCCAGGCAGGTGAGGAAAAGGATTCAGAAGCTTTGGCTGCGCCCAAACCTGGTTTTATTCTTCTTCAGATCATCCATTCCTTCAGTTTTTATTGGCCAGTTCATGCAGGATTTTATCCTAATCTCAGAATTTACTTTCAAATGGGTTATTAAGAGATTCCCCAGGGCTCACCTGGTGGCTGGGACTTTGTGAGTGCTGCCACCAAGTGCCTTTGATGTCCCCAAGTGTCTTTGATGTCCCCAGGTGCCTTTGCTGCTACAGTTGAAAGCCAGATGACAGAGATGGAGAAAGATGAAAAAAGCCAAGAAAAAGGGTGGGTTTAGGTGTGGTTATTGTGGTTAAAGCTGCACTTCTGTGAGGTTATGGTGCCTTGAGCTGCAGCAAGGTGTGCTGAGGATGGGGGAGAAAACTGAGGGGAGGCGACCAGTCCTGAGCAGTGCCAGGAGCCTCTCCCCCAGGAGCCTCCCTTTGGAAGGCTGGGCAAGCTCAGGGTAGCAGGAGCAAAGAAAAAGCTGATTTTTTTACAGCCCCAGTCTCTTCCTGCAACCACCAACCTATGGGGAAGGGAGGGATGAGCCCTTCCCTTTGTCCTGTGCTGCTGCAGCCTCCCAGGAGGATTCCCAGGAGGATTCCCAGGATTTCCAGGAGGATTCCCAGCAGAAGCCTTGATGCTGGGCAGTGTCCCTGCCATGACCTGGGGTTGGTGCTGCAGCCCCATCGCCCCTGGGCCTTTCAGGAGGGCTCACAAAGGGGCTTTGAGCTGGGAGCCCTCAGAAGGCTCTGCTGCCTTCCAAGGAACCCCACGGGGCCTCCAAAAGCTGGGTTTCTAAAGGGAGACAAGAGAACTCTTTTGTGGAGATTTCCAGCCCCCATGGAGAACTGTAGTGGAGAGGGAAAAAACACGTTTTGTTTTACAATAATGTGGAGTTCAGCACGAGGCCAGAAAATGCAGCACCAAAGAAGGAAAAATAAATACATAATGAATGAATGTGCTGTTATATTTAGAGAAAAACTCACAGCTTTTGCTTGAAAGAGTGAAAACACCCTGCATTTTTTGGTTTATCTTGAGGGATTTTTGGCTTTTGTGCCGTGAATTCTCTGAGTCCAAGGAGCAAGGCTAAGCAGATTCTAGAAGAATCATCCCAAGAAATTAATAAGCAATATATTGACAAAATTGTGGTTTTAAGTCTGCATCTCAGATGCAGAACGTGCCAGCAGTAGGGGAAAGGAAGAGTAAGAAAAAAACAGTGTCTGGGAAGTGGGTGGTGAGGAAATTTTGGCTTCTCCTCAGGGGAAGATGGGGCTTGGCAGGAGAGGGAGAAGGTCTGGGCTGTGTGAGGAAGAAGAGCTGGTGCTGCCCCTCCTCAGGGATGGACTGGCTGTGCAGGAGTCTCTCAGAGGGTGAGGGACATCAGGTGACATCATTAAGTGACATTAGAACCTCCTGCAGCCCCTCTCTGCCTTCTTTTGTGCCCTGGGGGAGGAAACAAAGGGAATTTGGGAGCTGGGGGTGATGGTTCTGACTCTCTCAGTGCACTGTGAAATGAGGAGCTGTGAATACAAGCCCCACACAAACCTGATTTTGTTGTGTTTTTCCAGGAGCTGGGAGGAATGATGATGCTGTGGGTAAGGTATGTCTGAGTTCATTAGTGCAGAGCCACTAACGAAGGCGTGGGGCAGATGATCTTACATATTTAGTTCAGAAGTAGTGATCAGAATGTGAAAGATTTTCATCTTTAAAGAGTTATTATTTAAGTACACTGTTCATGGCTGGCTGTGTCTTTGTGCTGTTTTCCTTTGTTTGTTTTCGTGGGGTTTTTTTGACTGCATTTTTTGTCCAGAGCTCAAAACTCAGTTGTGCCCCAGGGAAGAACCTGCCAGTAGCCCTCTCTTCGTGGCTGGTAGAGTTGGGGAACTTGTGATCACAGCTTTCCACTCAAAGCTCATCCCTCAAACCCTTCCATTGCACAGAGAGAATTAAACCAAGACCCTTTGGCTCCTGGAAGGATTGAGGTTTCTTTTGCACATTTTGTACTGCATATATATATTTACATTTTCACACACACATCCTCCCTCTCTGTGTCTAGAAAAATCACCCTGCAATTTTCCAATAAGCAGATACATTAAAGACCAACAAACCTCACAGAATCTGACACTTCACTAGAAAAAGCTACAATTTTCCTGAAGTGGCTTTGATGAGGAATCCTCTCGAGTGGGTGACTGTAAAATTGGAAGATTTATCTTCGACTTCCAGAAATGAATCCACTTTTCCTCTCCTCCTCCTCCTCTCAGGTTTCCCACTGTTCTGTGTCTCCTGGAATTGCTCTCTAATGAGACCTTAATTGGCTGCTAATTCTTTTGTCTGCAGCAGGAACTGGTCCCTTGGGGAGGCTGTACACACCATCTGAAGATGTGCAGCAGCACTTGCAGTGATTTTTGTTTGCACCAGGCAATGAAGTGAAACGCTGTGATTTATTAATTAGTCAGGAAACAGCAGCAGGTTTAGGGCTGGTTTAACCCCCTAAACCTCCCAGGCCACCCCAAAGTAGGGCCCAGCCTGGTGGGGCCATGGTGGCACTTTGAAATCCAGGAGTTCCTCAATTTCTGCTTGGCAGGGCACAGATCCCCGGGGAGCAGGAGAGGGACTTCCAACCCTGACTGTCACAACCATCCTGGTAAGGCCGTGCCAGAGGCAGGGAGCAGCTGGAGCTGCACCTGGCATTTGTTTGATTTATTTTATTGATGTGCGGGGGGGTTTTGGGCTGGCTTTGGCAGGGATGTCCCTGCTCCTGGCAGGGTTTTGGGGGCTGGCTCAGGGCTGTGGAGGTGCCAGCTGCCTGCAGTGGGCACAGGGAGGATTTGGGGGGTGTCACTGGGGGCATAGGGATGTGTCAATGCTCTGGGGGGGCAGCCAGATCCCTCTGCTGGGCTGTACCTGAGGGGCTCAGTTCCCTGAGTGTTGTTTCTGCCCTGAGGTGGGAACAATGTAAAGGTCACACAGGGACAAACCCAGGGATAAAATCCCCCAAATGCACCACCACGTGCTCCAGACAAGCAGAAGCTGCAGCAGTGAATTTTATGATCGTGTCATGTGCCTCACCTGAGGCTTTGCTGGGCCAAAATGAAAATATTTGGCTTTTAGGCTAAGAGATTTTCACTTATTCCTGTGCTGCCTGTGACCTGCAGGATGCAGCTGCCCTGGGGGTGGTTCATGTCTCCAGGGAATATCTTCCCAGTCTGGAAACAAGGAATTTTATTGACAGCAACTTTCCAGGATGTTTTGCCCCCCAGAATTCCCAACTTTTTTCGGGATAATTCCCCTTTTCTCACCCAAAACCATGGCAGGAGCCCAATTGCACTAAGGGGGAAATTTTTTTGGGGGGAGGCTGTGATGAGAACCTCCTGGTTCAAGGCAGCCCTGGGAATTTCCGTGGATTTCACATCCCAAAAGTCCCCAAAATAAAAGAAAAATCCTTCCGCAGCCCCACTGGAAGTCCAGGAAACTTCAGAAAGTTGGGAAATTTTGGGTGGAGAAAAATCCTGGAAAATGTTGATATCAATAATAATAATTATTATTTTAAAAAAAAAATAATAAATTAATATAAATAATAATAAAATAAAAATACAAAAAAAGGGGGGAAAAAAGTGGAGAGGAATAACGGGGCGGGTTTGCCGCGGCCGGGTTTAACCCCGCCCTGTGCTGATCTGGGTGTGTGTCCGTCCCTCCCAGGAGGATCCCTACGTGATGGTGAGGGGAGCAGAGCTGGAGGGGTACTGCATGGAGCTGCTGGCAGCCCTGGCGGGGATGCTGCGCTTCCAGTACCGCGTCAGGGTGGTGGGCGACGGCCAGTACGGCGCCGTGGCGGCCGGCGGCAACTGGAGCGGCATGATCGGGGAGATCCTCAGAAGGGTAAGGCCCAGGCTGCTCCTCACCCACCCTGCAGGGGCAGGAGAAGCTCCTGGGGTGGAGGAACTCGGAGTTGTGCTGCCTGGGTTATGCAGAGGTTGTTTTTGCTCCCTTTCCCTGGACCATGCTGGCGGCAATTGGGGCTGCTGCGAATGGCGCACGAACAGGGACGTGGACACCTGTGGATATTGTGCAAAGGTCCTTTTGGCTTCCTTACCCTCTGCTGGCAACAATTCAAACTGCTGCACCTGGAGAGGAGAAGGGATGAGCAGCAAGACTGGGAGCTGGATTTGGCCTGCAGGGATGCAAATACAAGGAGACACAGCCACAGCAGGAAAGCGCTGCTGCAGCCAGGCACTCCCAGGGCTGCCCTTGTCTCTCTCAGTGTTTCTCTGCAGCTTGTGAGACTGTGGCAAAACCTACCCTGAGTTTAACCCCTGGGTGGGATTCATTTGAGTCACATTGGCAATGCCCAGGCTCTTCATGCACATTTCAGCCCATCAGGTGCATTCCCTGTGGCTGATTCTCTGTCACCTGAGACTCATTTCAGTCAGATTGGCAATGCCCAGGCTCTTCATGCACATTTCAGCCCATCAGGTGCATTCCCTGTGGCTGATTCTCTGTCACCTGAGACTCATTTCAGTCAGATTGGCAATGCCCAGGCTCTTCATGCACATTTCAGCCCATCAGGTGCATTCCCTGTGGCTGATTCTCTGTCACCTGTGAGGAGCACTTCAAGCTCTTTGCCCCTCTGAGCTCAGTCTGTGCCCAGCTCTCAGCCAGAGTCAGACTGGAACAGTCTTTTCTCCTGGAGTAAATCCAGCCTAGCTCCTGCTGCAGAAGGAAACCAGATACCAACACTCTTCATGCACATTTCACCCAGGCAGGTGCATTCTCTGTGGCTGATGTTCTGTCACCTGTGAGGAGCACTTCACTTCAAGCTCTTTGCCCCTCTGAGCTCAGTCTGTGCCCAGCTCTCAGCCAGAGTCAGACTGGAACAGTCTTTTCTCCTGGAGTAAATCCAGCCTAGCTCCTGCTGCAGAAGGAAACCAGATACCAACCAGCACCCCACTGTGAATGATTCCATTCCAATGATTCCCATGGGAAACCTGTCCTGTTCCTTGGGGGTCATGTCCCAAGGCAGTTGACCTGGAGATGTGATGCCATTTCTGTGGGAATCTTTAAAATTAGGGGGTTTTGGGAAAGCTGCAAAAGGCAGGCTTTAGAGCCAGTAGAACTATGATTAGAGCTAAGCTGTAACTGTAAGATTTGTCAGTGGAAAAAGTGGGTGAGGAGTAGAAAAATAAGGACAAATAGAATAATGGTTTGTGTATTAATGCTTGTCTAAAATAACTCTCTAAGTTACAAAAAAGCATATCTTGTAAAATATTAGGAAATTCTAAGTTTAATAATGGAGCTCTGTAATAATGGAGCACCCGCCCACTCAGCCAGGGAAGCACTGCTTGAGGGACAGAAATGTCTGAGGGACAGAAATGTTCCCTGGGCTGGTGGCTGATTGGTTTTTGTCTCCTTGGCAGGAGGCTGACATTGCAGTGGCTCCACTGACTGTCACTTCAGCCAGGGAGGAGGTGGTGTCCTTCACCACGCCCTTCCTGCAGACTGGGATTGGGATCCTGCTCCGCAAGGACACGACCTCCCAGGACATGTCCTTCTTCCACTTCCTGTCTCCTTTCAGCAAGGAGACCTGGACAGCTCTTTTATTTGCTTACCTGCTCACGTGCTTCTGCCTCTTCCTTGTCGCCAGGTACAAATGCATTTGTTTCACAGATTGTGTTCAAGTCAGGGCCTTTCTCACCTATGAAAAAATTAGAAAGTCCCAGGGAGCCTTTTGCTCTGAGGAACCTCCTGTACAGCTCTAGTACAATGGCTAAGAAAGCTTAAACCCTGTCAGATTAAGCCAGCATTACGAGTGGGATCTGCCCATGAAGAATACCAGATCTCTTGATGGGGATTATTTTTATTTTTTCCCCTCTGAATGTCTGGTTTTATCCCGTCATTTTCCCACAGACTGAGCCCCAGTGAATGGAACGAGCCAAAGAGTGAAGAGAACCACTTCACCTTCCTGAACAGCCTCTGGTTTGGAGCAGGAGCACTGGCCCTGCAAGGTGAGCTGGGAGGATGCACCAGGGCAGCTCTGGGAGCAGCGGGGTTTTTAAGATGTTGGTGCACCCACCTCCTTCTGTGACACTGGGGTGAAAAGCTGTCTTGGCAAGGACACATGGAGCACTAAACCAGTTTGGGAAGGTGTGAGTACAGACCTGCTGGGCTTGTGCACGTGGTTGACTCTGGCTGGGGAACATTTTCTGCTCTGGGAAAACATTGCTTGGGGCAATGCCCAGCTGAGCAGGTCGGGCTGCTTTGTACAGAGGATTTTTTTGTACAGCTTTGTGCCACTGCTGCTGTCCAGACCAGCACAGAGGGGTCCTCCAGGCTCAGGCTCTGTGCAGCTGCAGGGCAGGGTCTGCAGTTTGCTTTTATTTAAAGTGAAGTCTGTAACTCAGTCTGCTGGGTCTGCAGCTCTTGGTGTGTCTCTGGCCCCACGTCCCCTCCCGTGTGATTTATGCTGATTTATTGTCTCCCTGTGGTGCAGGTGCCACCCCCCGGCCCCAGGCACTCTCGGTGAGGGTCATTGCTGTGGTCTGGTGGCTCTTCACCCTGGCCCTGCTGGCCGCCTACATCGCCAACTTCACGGCCCTGCTGAGCTCCGGCAGCGAGCAGCTCCCCATCCAGACCTTCGAGGACCTGGTCAAGCAAAGGAACCTGGAGTTTGGGACACTGGAGGGCTCCTCGACTTTCTACTACTTCAAGGTGCAGAGAATCTCCTTGTGCCCACACCCAGGGCTGTAGGACTGCTGAGCTGGGGCTGAGTCTCACAGCTCAGGCCTTATAACCCCTACAATGCCCTCTTCACTGTTGGCTCCCTCAGTTTTCCTGGAATACTTCAAATATACAATTATTGTTCAGCCCTTCCTCCACCTCTTCTCACAGGAACGCAGGCACAGAATTCTTATTTTTATTCTGAATTCTCCTTTAAAAGTCTCTCTACTCTGCAGGGGCTGCCTTTGTGTACCTCAGACAGCAGGTGACACTTGTACCACTGTGTGATGCTTGCCCCCAGTGTTGGGGACAATTTGTGCTTGCAGGGCTTCACACATGGTTTAAGTGCTCTTCTTCTCCAACCGTTTTACAACCCTTGCACATACAGGCAGATTTTAAATTTTTTGGTGGTTGACACTTGGATTTTTTGACACTTGGGTTTGGCATTTGAGTTTGACACTTGGATTTCTGGGCCGCAGAACTCCAAGAACCCCATCCACCAGATGATCTATGAGTACATGGAGAAGAGGAGGGAGCACGTGCTGGTCAAGACCTACCAGGAGGCCGTGCAGCGCGTGATGGACTCCAACTACGCCTTCATCGGCGAGTCCATCTCGCAGGACCTGGCGGCCGCCCGCCACTGCAACCTCATCAGGGCCCCCGAGGTCATTGGGGCCCGTGGCTTCGGCATTGCCACCACCCAGGGTGAGTCCCTGTCCCCTCTGCTGCCCCACTCCTCCCTGGGACAGCAGCAGGCCAGAGCCACCACTGCTGGCAGGGTGACCAGAGTGAAAACGCTGCTGGCGGGGTCACTGCTCTGTGGGGAGTTAGCACAGGCTCTCACTTTGGACTCTAGTGCACAAATATTGCATCTCCTGGTGGCCTTTGCCCCAGGAATGCGGATCTCCTAATGCAATGAGCAGGGGACAGTCTGCTCATGTTCTTCCCAAAGCACCTTCACTCTGCCCTTATCCTCCATGTGTAATCACCCTCTGTGGCCAGGGCAGGATGTTGTTAGCCAGGAAAAGCCTTTGGCAGGCGGGGCTGTGTTTGGTGACACCTCTGACCCCTTTAATATTTAACTAAACCATGGCTGGGAGCTCTGCCATCCTCCCCTCTCTCCTCTCCCGCTGCCCAGCATCCCCCTGGACCAAGCCTCTCTCCATCGCCGTGCTCAAGCTGCGCGAGTCGGGCGACCTGGACTACCTGAGGAACAAGTGGTGGGAGAGCAGCTGCCTGCGCCAGAGCCGGGAGCGCTGGGGGCCGCTGGAGCCGCCGGCCCTGGGGGGGCTCTTCCTCACCCTGGGCATCGGCCTCGCCCTCGGCGTCCTCGCCGCCCTGGCCGAGCTCTCCAGCAGCAGCCGCCGCGCCGCCGCGCACGCCAAGGTGGGCCCCGGCTGCTGCTCCAGGTTTTGTCCTTCCCCATGTCCCTCCTTCCTCCATGGTGGGCCCTGGCTCCTGCTCTGAGCCCCATCCTGTGTCCCCGTGTCCCTCCTTCCCCCAAGGTGGGCCCTGCACCTTGTCTTGTGTCCCCGTGTCCCTCCTTCCACCAAGGTGGGCCCTGGCTCCTGCTCTGAACCCCATCCTGTGTCCCCGTGTCCCTCCTTCCACCAAGGTGGGCCCCAACTCCTGCTCCAGGTCCTGTCCTGTGTCCCTGTGTCCCTCCTTCCACCAAGGTGGGCCCTGGCTCCTGCTCCAGGTCCTGTCCTGCCCCCTGTGTCCCTCCTTTCTCCAAGGTGGGCCCTGTACCTTGTCCTGTTTCCCTGGTGTCCCTCCTTCCACCAAGGTGGGCTCTGGCTCCTGCTCTGAGCCCCATCCTGTGTCCCTGTGTCCTTCCTTCCACCAAGGTGGGCCCTGCACCTTGTCCTGCCTCCCTGTGTCCCTCCTTTCCCCAAGGTGGGCCCCAGCTCCAGTCCTGCCTCCCCGTGTTCCTCCTGCACCAGCATTTCCACCCTGCTCTTGGTTTTCTAAGGAAAGCTGTGCAGGGGTAAGAGGAGGCTGTGCAGTCACTTCTTAAAGTGCCAGAATTTCACAGCTTGGGCTGTGGGATGGGTTTGTAGCATGAACGGCATAAATACAATATATAGAAATAAAATAAACCCCAGCACCCCTTTCACCCCCACCCAAAAAAACAATTAAGTAACATTCTCTGAAATCCCAAGGCAGCCAAACTGCATTCCACTGCCCTGGGTGTTAGAGACGACAGTAAATGATCCTTAATGAGTTCATTCCCAGTGGTGGCTGTTCTTCAGTCATTAAAGCAAGGAAAACACACACACAGTGAAACTGCACCAGTGTCCCAGTGTGCCCCTTGGTGCTCCTGCTCTCCAGCCCTCCCAACGTGCACATGGAAAAGATGGATCCACAGAACAACCCACCCACAGCCTTGTCTCCCCCTTTCTTTTTCAGAAATCTTGCTGCTCTGTTTTCACAGAAGAAATCTGCACTCGTCTACGCATAAAAGGAGCCGCCAGACAAAGCCAGGAGACGTCAGGGAAGGCAAATGCTTGAGGAGCTTTTGCTGTGCTAGGGTTGTACCATGTCCTAGGAGCTGTATCAGCGTAGGAAGATGTTTTTCTGCTAGTCTAGAGTGTTAGTTTGCTAATTACACACACACACAGCACTTCTGGAGTGGTGGTGGAGCTGCAGACAAAAGGAAATTAAGTGGCTTGGAAGAATTTAAACTGATAAGGGCTAGAGTGGAACTGTGACAAATGGACAACCTGGAGCAGAGCTGGCCAGGATGGTGGATCCATGGTTAGGTTTGAAGTTCACCCTGTAAGTCCATCAAGGCCTGTAGGAGGAAGTGACTGGGGACAGGTTAATGTGAAGCCTCTGCTACTAATTCCTGTGTGAGGAGCAGTCGTGGAACATTAAAGCTCTTGTCTGTCTCTTGTAATCAGGAACAGCAGCTTAAGCATTGCAGCTATAAATAGCCTCACCCTGAGCAGGAGGGGCTGGTCCCTGGGAAGGTAATTCCTGGATCAGAAGTGACACTGCTGCTGTGTAACCCCAAACAGGCTGCACCTCAAACCCCAGAAAGGGAGCCCCTGCCACCAAGGAAGCACCTGAGCTAAGAAATGCCAGGCAGGGCTTGTCCTTTGTCCCTTCCCATCACAGGATAAGGGCCACTGGTGGGTGACAGAGAATGTTTTGTTCTTGTTGCCCAAGAATTGAGGATTGAAGTGGAAATCCATCAGTACCAGAGCAGGGAAGGAGTGTAGGGATGAGTCAAACACAGCACAGCCCCAGCTCCCCTGCAAGGGGAGATGAGAGGGTGTTTTGCATCACTCTCCTGCTCTCAAACAATGCTGAAGTTCAGGGGAACAGTTTTCTCAGCTGCATGTTAAACACCTTCCTCATTAAGCTGTTTTCCCTTTCAGAGCTGGGATGACTGAGGCATTTAAGTGTTAGGGCAAATTGGTGGTGAAATCACTCCATTTATGAACTGCACAGCTGAAGGAGGGAAAAACCAAATTGGGTTCCTTGGGAATGGCTGTAATTGCACTGCAGGAACAAAGCCACCAATCCTTGTCAGTCCCAGCAGGGAGAACTGAAGGGAACAGAAACCAAGGGGGCTCAGGCTGGGAACTTATGGCTGATCCTAAATCCAGCACTGCACATTCCCTGGGAGGGGAACTTGGTGAGACTCAAGCTTCCAGCTGCTGTGAAGGAATTGCAGCTGCAGGACTCCCTCCTTCATCCCTCCTGCTAATGGGAACAAACAAGGGGTTAGGAATTCCAGGTGTTGGGAAACCAGGGCTGGTCCTTAACTCAGACTGCAACAGCCCTGGCTCGGTCACAGCCTGAGCAAAATTGTGGGGTGAGAAGGTGGATCAGCCCTTCCATCAACTGAGCTGCACAGAGCAGGAGAGCTTTAGGCAAGTCCAAAAGCTGAAAATGCAATGTCAGAAAATGCAACGTCAGGTTCACTTAGCAGTTAAAAACTATTTGGTAGGTGCTGTGTCACTGCTGGCAGAGTAGGCAGAGATGTATAAAAAAGGTTTCATTGACATTTAAATATATTTCTATATGAATGTCTCACAGAACAAAAAAATAAAGTCTTTTCATCACAAATACTGCAGCATTAAAATAAACACTTACCAAAATAAACAATGAGTGATATACATATATATATTTGAGTGTGTAGACTATAGAGTGAATCATATTGTCGCTTTTAAAGTCACAAAAGCACAATATAAATACGGAATTTCCTGTGAACTCTTGTCCCTGTTGTAATAAAAATACATTCTTTACAGTTAAAGTAAAACTAGTGCAAGTCCATCAGCTGTGCCAGCTCCATCATTTACAGGGCACTTCGTACTTGAAGATGACGCTGAAGATTTTGCCCCCGAGGCGGTCGGCGAGCCACGAGTTCTTGATGACGGCCAGCTTGAGGCTCTCACACCTGAGCACGGCGTAGTAGTTGGTGTGGATGGCCCTGCCCATGCCCTCGATGACCACCAGGTCCGTCTGCCGCTCCCGCACCAGCACGGCCAGGCCCTGGTCCAGGCGGCTGCAACACAGCGCGGTCAGGGCGGCTGCACTGCGGCCACACCGCGGCCACATCTACTGCCACACCTCAGCCACATCTGCAGCCACACCACGGCCACATCTGCAGCCGCACCACAGCCACACCTCGGCCACATCTGCTACCACACCTCAGCCACACCACGGCCACATCTGCGGCCACACCTCGGCCACATCTGCTGCCACACCTCAGCCACATCTGCAGCCACACCACGGCCACATCTACAGCCACACCACGGCCACATCTGCAGCCACACCACAGCCACACCTCGGCCACATCTACTACCACACCTCAGCCACACCACAGCCACACCACGGCCACATCTGCGGCCACACCTCGGCCACATCTGCAGCCACACCTCGGCCACACCACGGCCACACCTCAGGCACACCACAGCCACATCTGCAGCCACAACTCAGCTCCACCTGCAACCATACTGCAACCACATCACGGCCACACCATGGCCATATCTGCAGCCACACCACAGCCACACCTGCAGCCACAACTCAGCTCCACCTGCAGCCACAACTCAGCCACACCTGCAGCCACAACTCAGCCACACCTGCAGCCACACCTCAGCTCCACCTGTAGCCACAACTCAGCCACAGTTTAGCTCCACCTGCAGCCACAACTCAGCCACAGCTTAGCTCCACCTGCAGCCACACCATGGCCACACCACAGCCACATCTGCGGCCACACCACGGCCACACCTTAGCTCCATCTTCAGCCCCCCTGCAGCCACACCACAGCCACACCTCAACTCCACCTGCAGCCACACTATGGCCACCCCTCGGCCACCACTGCAGCCACATCTGGGCCACACCTCAGCTCCACCTGCAGCCACACCTTAGCTCCATCTTCAGCCCCACTGCAGCCACACCTTGATCTCCCCTTGGCCATACTTCAACCCAACCTGCAGCCACCCCTCAGCTCCACCTGCAGACACACCACAGCCACCCCTCAGCCACACCTTAGCTCCACCTGCAGCTGCACCCCAGAGCTGCCCCAAGCTGCCTGCTGGGATTCTACATGAAGTTACATGTGCCCACAAATATGAAAGCCAAGGGGATGGATTGAAATGGTGTTTAAATGGACCCAAGTTGGGATTTTGACACAGGTAAGTTCTGTGTCCAATAGAGGAACTGATCAGAATAGGTTAAAGAAGGTGAAATGATGCTTCTATCCCAGAGGGTTTTGGCCACCTGCAGTATCTGACATCAGCCATAACCACAGCTCCTCACCCAGCTGTGTCCTGAACACAGACACCTGACCAGGGGCCAACAGCTGTAAGGCCTGAGCAGTGTCACAGCTCTGTAAATCCACACTAACCACCTCCTGATGGGTGTGCAGAAGTGATTCCCAGTGGGAAGGGTGCCTGGGATGCTCCACAGCCAAACCTCTGACCATCCTGCAGCTGAGGGACACAAACCACACACTGGCACTTTGCCCACGTACCTCAGATCCAGGCACGGAGAACTGGAGCCCGTCTGAACCAACAGCAGCTTCTCATCCCTCAGTGCAGAGCTGTTTAAAAAGACAAAAATATTAAACAGCTGCTTCAGCAGGGCCTTGCACATCTGGGAATAAGGCAGAGAAGCAGGAATATCGAAGCCTCTTCTACAAAGGCTTCCTTTGCTGCAGGGGCTTCACCAGGAAACACAATGTTTCCTTGAGCATCCTCTCCTGGGGACACTCTGTGTGTGACATACATGGGTTTGCCTCTATTAACAGAGAATTCCTGGCACAGCAGCTGGAGTGCTTGTCAGGGAAGATACAAGAAACTATGGGTGTACCAGAAAGACCCAATTTCTAAATTTTTCACTTTAACGAGGGCAAATGCTCTGCCTTGGGCTGAGAGATGAACAGTGAAATGCACAGGCAGGATCTGCTGTCCCCAGGGAGCTGTGACAGAGGAGGTGCTTACTGGATCACGGGGTCCATGGCCGCGATGCGCTCGGTGACAATCAGGGACTCGCTGTAGGTGACGTCGTTGAGGGCAGGGCCAGAGTTACAGGCCAAAATCACCTGGGGGGAAGGTGCCAGGAGAGGTCACACAGTCAGGCTCTGGCATTCCAGGCGCTTGGATTATTCCCAGTTTGGCAGAGGGGTGTCCTGCTGGTGGGCAGTGACACCTTCCAGCAGTTAGCAAAACTCCACAGGAATTGGCAAGGAAAAGCACTCACCTCTGTCCCTCTAGAAAGGAGCTCTCGGACAAAAGGAAAGACTCCTAAAATTATGTCTATCCCACTGTTATCTGCGAAAATTAAGGCACATTTATGAGGGGGACCCTCCTGCAAGAGAAAACCAATGCATTCAGGATGGAGCATCACTCACCTCAGGGAAGTTTGTTATTCACAGCTACTCCTTCAAAGCCCCACATTTTATACCCTTAAACACCTGAGCTTTGGGGTCTGGATTGCAGCAAACTCCCAGCACACACCAGTGACAAACAGGAGGAATTGGGCTCCCTGATGGTGTCTTTGCACAGGGGTTTAAAACAGTTATTATTTTAAAACACCCCTCATGTTCCTGTGCTGTGTTTGAGACAGGGCTCTCAAACTCCAGCAATAAAACCTCCACCTGCCAACTCAAGCCAGGCCTAACTCCAGAGTCAGGCTTTGATCCTGAACGTGCTGGGTGCCAGCTGGACCTACCTTGGAGGGCGTTTTAAGCCAGCCTGGTGCTGGCTGAACAGCATTCCCTTCTGCCAGGAAAGGGCAGCATGGACTGTGGGGGCAGTGACATCCTAAAATGAAAAGATAGTGCCTATTCTCCATTAACCTCTTCATTTGTTCTCAACCTGGTGTTATGAAACTTAGTTCATTCCAGTTCATACCAGCTAAAGAACTGAAAAATGCTTAATTCCTAATAAAAACTGACAGGACAGTGCCTGTAGTTCCCTAATTATCCCTGTTACACAAGATTAGCTGGTGCTTTGTTTTAGGATGGAGCATGTAATGATTTGCCATAGTCTGCTCATCCCCAGCCTTTACACTGCCATTTTCAACAGAGAGATTTACACAAAGACACAAAAGCTTTTTAATTAATCTTAATTAAATGGTAAAAGAGATCACATGGGGAAAAAAAGAAAAAAAGCTTTGCTAATTGATAAGTTCATTACTTCCAGCAAGCTCCTACATTAATGCCAGTTTTAGCTTGGCTACTCAGGGGGAGGAACAACTCAAACACTACATTTGGCCCCAGGTTTTTAAATTCAGGGCTCTGAGTGTATGGAAATAAGAGCCCTGATAAGGAGAGGAGGCTCTGGGAGCAGCTGGGCTCCAGTGGGAATTCAGGGAAGCAGCTTGGGAAGTAACCACGTTTTAGACTAATTCCTTCACTCCTTTCTTTATGGTGAATTACTGGGATTTGTTTTGGGCTGTCTGAACAGGGTTCTGTTCAAACCCCGCAATTACCAAGGTGGTTTGATGATTAAGGTGGATAATTAGTGGGTTTAGGGCCACCCAGGGTCGTACCTTCAGTCGCTCCAGCCACTGGCTGTAGGAATCTTCCAACCAGGGACGTTCTGTGGCACAGACAGAGCAGTGTCAGCATTTCTTATCAGCAGCCACTACCTCTTATCAGCAGTCATTCTGCACATGCTACAAGCAGGAGGCTCATGCTGCACTCACTGAAGCATTGAAACATCTGAGCTCAGGTTTCCAGTGTTAAATGTGTAGGCTGAGAGAGTTCCCCAGCTCTCTGTTATGGGAATGGCTCCATGACGGAGGCCTGAAGTGGAATTTTCACCCTAAAGCTCTGGAGTGGTGTGGGCTGGGTGTGGAGCCCCCAGGACACTGATCCCTGGCAGAGACACAACAGTGAGTGACCATCTCTGTGTTTAAGGAGAGAGTCTGCTGGTTTAACTCCTTTGGAGCATTACCCAAACTCTGGGTCTGCATTCAGATAACCCTAACAACCCTAA